CTGAATTGAGTTGACCCTAGTTAGGGTTGCATATTCAAATTGATAACTTAGAAGGGTTGTCGTGTAGGGATTGAGGAGTCGAGGAGATTCGATTTGCACGCCGAGGATAGTTCAAACACTACACGACATCAAGGTGATTTACCTTCCAGTAGAAGTAGGTCTAAGGCACCAAGGTCGGCTTACTAGTAATTGTTTACAGTTGAGATGATTGTCTTTGTGATAATTGTCTGGTTTGCTATCACTTGATGTGTTCTATGTGCCAGTATATTATGTTCTATGTGTTAGTGGTAGTAGGAGGGGAATAGTCCCCCGATCGGTTGTCAGGACCGAAGTGTAGGTCGGACACCCTAGATATATCTGACAGCATGTTATGATATGTTATTATGTGATAGTACTAGGGGTGCAATAGTCCCTGTGACCGAGTGAGATAGACCGGAGGGTAGGCAGGCACCCTAGAATGGCCTAATATGGGTAGTCAGCACCCCATAATGGCTTGACACGGACAGTCAACACCCTAGAATGGCTTGACATGGGTAGGTCGGGCACCCCAGAATTGCCCGACAATATGTATGCTATGTGATTGTAAGGTATGTGGTATAATGGTGGAACTCACTAAGCTTTGTGCTTACAGTTTTAGTTTTGGTTTCAGGTACCTCTTCGTCAAAGGGGAAGGAGTCGGCGGTGTAACAGCACATCACACACACATATCGTTTCCGCATGGCATTTTTGGGATTGTAATATGATTTTCATTACTTTTGATGATATGGTTTTCAGACACATTGTTATGGTTTTAATAAATTATATGACATTGGTAATGTTTGGTAAACTATGTTATGAATCTCTTAATTAAAAACAAAAAATTTTTGGCCTCGAAATTTGGGATGTTACAGTTCTCCATTTAAAGAAAACACAGTATAGGGATAAAGTTGATAATCTAGAATAAAAAAGACAAAGAACAGAAGAATATGAGGTCGAACTAACATAATACAATAAATAAAGGAAAATGCTTACGTTTTTCTTCGAATGGAGGGTCAATTGAATTTCAATCTTCGGTGTTAGGGCTTAGCGAATGTAAGAGGAAGAAGACAGACGTACTCTCATAGACAATGGTTGTATATGCTTGATTTTTTGAAGATGAGTTAAAGGAAAGAATTAGGGGTTTGTTGTTGTAAGTGAGATTAGGTTTTTTGTTGATGCTATAGTTCGTATAAGTCAGGGGAGAAGCCGACAACGTGGTTAGAGGAGAAGAGAATCGATGAAGAAGAAAAACAAGATGATAAACAGAAACAACTGGAAAATCCAACACAAAAACAAAGAATCAAATATGAAGAAACACTTTTGTACCTTATTTTGGAACTAGGGGAAGGTGAAACCAAATGAGAACCGAAGAAGAAGTGAATAATAAAAAACCATATTGGATACAAATCATTGTGGTGTGGTTGGAGGTTGAGTTACGGTTGACAGAAATACAAACAGTAGCATATCATCTACTAGTGACATATTTACAGTCATTTTCCGGAATCTTATAGATCTTGTTTTCTCTGGGGTTTGGAGGACGGTCACAAAGTTATCCAACAGTTGAAATTGGATGTAGCTCTTAATTCCAAAGAAAATGTTGGATTAGATATTTGTAGCTTATATGCCTTAACATGTCGTTATTTTTTTGGAAAGGGAACTTCCCTAACGAGGGTTTCCGGGCCAGCTTTCGCACACCGACTAATCCCCCGCTGCAAACATAAAGCTTTGCCTCATGCCCTGGATTCACTACAAGCGAACCTCCATGGCCACAAGGGCTGAGTGGTGCTAGGATTTGAACATGGGTCAATAGGTTATCCATCATATCTTCCACATGCCTTACCAAGTCACCACAACCCAAGTGGTTTTAACATGTCGTTATTGTACAAATGGAAGTGGTGTTTCTTACATGAATGAGACTCTCTCTAGTTTGAAATTATTAAGAGTCTTCACAGAGTTGATGATGGATTTTTTAAGCTTCTCGGTCCCTTTTAGAGGTGTGGGGTGGCAGAAAATTATTGGATCAATAAACCTTTTACATGACAGGAATGTGTTGGATTCAATTTTGATGTCTATGCTATTCGAGATGGTGTAAGAAAAATAGACTATTGAATTGTTTGGATCAATAAGAGTCGTGAAACACTTTTAAATTAAATCATTTCGAGGATACACTCAAAAATCTCTAATCGGATAAAATTAACTCACTGTTTTCTAGAAGAGAGAATGCAAAAGATGTTATGAAAACTGTGTACCAAAATGATTTTGAATATGATCATATAATAGGAAAACAACTTCCTGTCTTAAAACTGCCATATGACAGTTACAGAAATATAACTTCCAATCCAAAACCTGTCTTATAAACTGTCATAAAAAATTATAAATTAACTTAAAAATGGGACTAGAATATGGATTACAAAACCGGGTTCATTTATAAATAATGGATTAATTTCTGATGCACTTTTTATAAAAAAAAAAAAAAACCCCAATCCAACTCAATCCCATCCAAGGGCTCTACCCCTTGGACCCTGTCAGGGTTTGCCGCCCCTTCGACCCCACTCCCACGTGCACTACCGCCAAACCCCCATCAGTTCAAGGGCTTCCCCCCAAAAGAGCAATATACTTTCATATAAAACAAACTTAACAAATATGCATTCCGCACTACCGTAACTTGTTTAATATTATCAAAGTAACATTGATTAATAAATTAATCTAATTACAGTTAAATAATATTAGTGGTACAAGATCATCAACAGGTGGGTCTGTGGCTAGGTGGGTTTATGGCTATATTTTGGTATGACAATTGGTGTGGGGGTGTCTCGCTTAAGATTCAATTCAATAGGCTCTATGCTTTATCTTCTTACAAAAGGCCTTTGTTCATGATTTTTTGACTGATGATGAGTGGAGTCTTCTTTGGCGTAGGTCTATTAAACGTCGGGTGGAGGCCTTGCGATTCGAAAATCTTATGGGTCTTTTAGGCCGATTGTGTTGACCTCTATTCCGGATAAATGGAGTTGGGTATTTGGTTCAAGTGGTACTTTTTCAGTTAACACGACTAGAAGACAAATTGATTCCGTTAGACTTCCGGTGGGAAATATTGCTATGAGATGGAACAAGTACGTTCCTATTAAAGTTAATATATTTTGATGGTGCTTTTTGTTGCATCGTCTTCCTCTTAGATCAATTATGGTGGATATAAGTTTGGAGTTGGATTCGGTTCTTTGTCCTATTTGTCAGTCGGGTCTGGAAGATGTCTTGCATTTATTTTTCCAATGTGAGATAGCGCAACATGTTTGGAGATGGGTTGATTTGTGGCTTGAATTCAAGCTTCCTTCTTTTTTGGCTCCTCTGGACATGGTAAATTGGATTGATATTAGGCCAACGGCTTGAATGGAACGAGTGATTGTGGAGTCTGTGTGCATGGTGGTGATTTGGGTGATCGGGTCCTATAGGAGTGTGGTTCTTTTCGGTTCGTTCGAGTTTAAGAATCAATCTTTTTTTTTTTATACTATTGTAGAACATTTCTTTCATTGGTTTTCTTCTAAGAATGTTAAGGCTAGTATTAATTGTACTCCTTGATTAAGGCTAGTAATAATTGTACTCCTTGGTTGCATAATCATATGCTACCTTAATTTTGTATTTTTTATTTGCTAGCTCCTACCTAGCGGGTTTTTAATATAAGTTTGTTGTAGGGATGTCAACGGGGGCAAACGGGGCGGGGAGTGCATCTCCCGCCCCCACCCCCGAAATTTCCCTGTTCCCCCGCCCCCGTCCCCGGAATGTTCAATGTTCCTACCCCCGCCCCCGAATCCCCTTTCTTATCCCCGCCCCCGCCTCCGTTCCCCCACCCCCGATTGATTTTGGGCTATTTTTTTTTGGTCTAAAAGAAGTTGTTATTTAGGTTAAAATAAGTTATTTTTTAGTTAACAAATAATTATTTATAGCACAATTTTATATATTAAAAATAAAAAAGTTATGGCATTTTAAAAAATTATACTAACAACTTAAAAACATGTTTTTTGATGAATTTTGGAAGCTCAAAATCATGTTATTGTTTATTATATTTATATAATTCATATATGTAAATATATGTGTAATTTATTAATGGGGTCCCCATGGGGGTTTCGGGACGGGATTGCTTACCCCCGTCCCCGCCCCCGAAATGAAAACGGGGGTTAACCTTGCCCCCGCCCCCGATTTTTTTAAAAAAAATCCCCCAAACGGGACGGGCCCCCACGGGAACGGGGTCCCACGGGACTTTTTGACATCCCTAGTTTGTTGCGGTTCAAAAAAAAGACTATGGTAATGTTTTTTCGTTTTCTAACTTCTCGCTAGCATTATTAATAATTTGAGGTTGTTGGAAAAAAATTAAAAATAATAATAAATAGCAGCTAATTTACTTTTGATATATTTTTCTATGCTGATTATTAATGTCATGTTCATTGTTTATTTGGTCGTACGACGTTTGTTAAAATGCAAATATCTTTCATGGTTAGTAGTTGTCTGCAAACAAAAAATAATTGTTGTTAATGTTGACCATGCGTGAACTTGGTTAAATTTTCAAGAGCTGCAACAGGTAACAGACGGCCTGTTGGTTGTTTTAAATTCATTTTTCTTGGAGTATTAGACGTATGCATTAGTTTCGGGCTTCTAAGAAACTCTCTTGTAGTTTCTTCCCCAATTATTAAGTTTCCATCTCGCTTGTTTTAAATTCTAATTGATTTAGATGTGACAAGGACCTCATACAACAGTCAAACTAATTCAATTAAAACCTAAAGAAACACAACCTGTTTAGACAATATCACAACTTTCGTCTTTCACTTCCTTACCTTAAACACTTGACGTTCCTCCTGCCCACTCCTTCTATACAGTTTGAAATACAACAGCAATTTTTTTTCCTATAAAAACAAATCCTTCAATTTCCATATCTAAACCATCTTCCTGCACTACCTTTAATTTATCTTAGATCATCATTTTCAACCGCTGAGATGCACATAAATGTTGGTTCGAAGCTAACTGAATATCTCAAGCTTTTGAACCAACTAGAGTATTATGGTAATGTTCCAGATGATTCGATAAATTCCTTGAGGTCTTACGCTTTGATAGTATATCGGTCAGATCGGCAAAACAGTTTCAGTGAACCTATGCCATGGATTGGGATCTATATCGCCATAGCATCTCTGTTTTGCAGCTTTGCAATGGTGGCTGATTTAATACATGGTTTGAGGAACAGAAAACTATGGTTTCCATGTAAATACTTCACTCTGAATGCTGCTTCTCTTTCTATAATAGCTGTTGCAATGAAGCTACCCATGGATCTAAGCAATGTAATGCCAGGTGACGTGGACCAGTTTGCAAAGATTGGAAGCATGGGATTTATGTGCACCATGATGGCTAATTTATTGCCTTCTCTAGCAACCATGGATAGCAAGGAACTTTTCACAAACATCATAGCTTTGGTTGTATTGGTAATTACATTGGTTGTGAATGTTTGCATTCAAATAAAAACCGGTGTTGTTTCCAACACTGAAGTGGAGCACATGTTAGGTGGTGATCATTATTCAAACTATTTGAGTTTTTACAATCAGTCAATAGCAATCATTTATGTTGCTATGATACTGATGTTGCTGATGATACATGCATGTTCATCTTTAGCAATTGTAAAGTCCAAACAGATACTAGAAGTAAAATACCAAGCAGCTTTAAAGGACAAAGAGCTTCCACAAACAGGAAGATTAACTGTTGAGAAACTAAAGAAGCATGTGAGCAACTACTGGATCATGGCAGGAACTGGAAGCCCTCAATTTATGACAGCTTGCTCTGCTACAGGCTCTGCTTCTGGGGTAGTATGCGCTTTAAGTACTGTCTTGCAAGTAATTATTATGCTTTTCACTGTTGGACGTACAAAGGACTATAAGTCGGATTATAAGTGGTCAATGATGGTGATTCTCATAATACAATTTATCGGATCCTTGTTGGGTACTATTGCCCCACTTTGTAGATGTTTTGCAGCCTTAAGCTTTAAGTTGTCCATAAAATGGGTTTGGAACAGTATGAAAGTCTTTAAAGTTGAGGGTTACTGGACTCAGAAGTTATTTGATTTGAAACAGAGTAGTATACCATTCTTTTCTTGTAGCCGCAAGTTTAAGTTTCTTGTCCACAATTTGGAGGTCCTCATCCTCGGCTTTTGCATAGGATTTCAGAAGGCAGTTGTGGTAGCATGCAAGATAATAGGCCTCATCCCAGTTTTCATAGTCATCTGTATCTTTAATTGCTCCTGTTGTTGGAAGTGGTTGAAGTCGATGTTAATTGCATTTGGTATTGTGTTTTTAAAAAACTCTGAGCAGCATGAAACAAATGAAAACTTTAGCCATTATGTTTTACAACTTCAAGACGATATGGAGCTTGCTGGGATAACAATGAAACGGATTTCAAAATCGTTCGATCGCTTGATCAAGAAGGCTGAAAAGCAACAACCCTCCAATCTTATGAAGCTTTTAAAGGGATCTACAGGTTTTGAAGGAGTTGAAAAGTTTGACAACCATCATGTTCCACCTTTACTTTTACAAGAGCCTCTCAATTGCTGGAGCTTAGCTTTGGTAACCTTGACAACCATCGCCATATCTCTTCCTAACATCCAAAAGAACATAGTCGATTGCTTGCTGAGTGGCGTGAGTGAAGGTCTTGTATATGTCAAACTTGTGGAAAAAACCCTCAATGCTACTGATAATCATGTAAGCATTCAAAAGGCAGCTAAAACTTTGTGGGTAGAAGTTGAAGTCTACAACAAATGGTTAGGAAACAAGCTACAAAACTTTGCTCCTCAAGTGAGTACAGCAGGAGAGATTATTCAATGGTTGAGCGATACAGCTAAAAACATGGTTGCTGAGGTCGAAAGTACGGGTATTGGAGTACCTATTGAAAACTCCAAATGCAAGACTATTTCTGCCAATTCAATGTATCGTATCACCGAATCAATCCTGCTTTCTTATGCCACCAACATTGAAGAGCTTAGCCAAGAGGAATTATTTGTGCAGTTATCAGTAATGATAGCTGATATATTGGCTGCATGTCTCACCAACTTACCTCAAGTCATTGCAATTAAATGCCACACAAGTGTAATAGAGAAAAGGGAGGCGAGTGTCCATGCTGCAGCCCAGCTTCTTGGAGAGACTATGCAGATAATCAACATCCTCCAAGATTGTGAACTTCCATTCTTGGATCCAGACGAGTTGGCATTTATTGACAAGTGGCGTGCTTACTTAAAGGATCCATTTCCTTAAACACCAATTTTCTTTCTCCAAGTTAGTGGATAAAAATTTCTTGTAATTTATTTTCTTTTGGCAGAAGATCATGTCACTATTATTGTGATTTCCTTTCATGCTTGTTTTAAGACTTGAATATAACCAAGAATCTGGTAGCTAATATCGCAACACCCTTCACCAAGTCTGCATTATTAGCATTCAGAAAGCATGTGGAGTGTTCAAAAGTTTTACGCTAAGATAAGTTTTAATTTTTAGGTGTGATTGGAAGTATGAGTAGGTGCATTCTGTTGTAGATTGATTTTTAAGTCTTCCAAATTAATATATCATTTTCCTTTGGTGTTTATAGTGCTAACTCTAACACCACAAATGGAGACTTGACATTAAAGAATCGGAATGAAAACTCTTAATCCGAAAACCATGAGCACGAAATCAAAGATGGTTTAGTGAGAGAATTATATTTGAACAAGTAGTGGATGTTTGAAATTCTGAAGTAGCTGCAAGGATAACCAAGTTCCCAACAGAACTCCTCGTGATTTGCCAAAATATAAGCCCCAACAGAAAACTTGAGGTATTGAAGGACACAGACCAACAGCAAATTCATGAGGACAGTTATGAGAAATCCAGGTCCAGAATTCTATGCTGTCCTGTCAACTGAAGCAGATGAAGGGGAAAAACCTACAAACAATACAGTAAACCCTTTGGATCCAAACTAATATCAACTACAAAACACATCATTAACTTGACGTGTAGCAAGCTCATAACTCTCATCCTCATCCGAATAAATAGACTAATATGCCAAAATCGGATCAGAGAAAGAAAAAGCTAAGTCATAAATTTACCCATATTGTGTAACGTCCCAAAATTTTAAGTAAAAATTTTATTTTTAAACTGACAAAATCAACCATTCATTCATTCATTCATTTCCAAAAGTCATGAAGTATAAAATAGTATTACTAGTTATCAGAGTACAAATCGAGTCACAAAATATGGAACACCGATGGATGCGATGCAGTCACGTCGACATCTAGCTCCCCTTTGGAACGAGAAGTACCTAAAACATTTTTAACATAAACCATCAGCACGAACCTTAGTGAGTTCCTCAAAATACCACATATCATACATATGTCGAGCCCCATCCGGTATCCATTGGGCCCTACCTGGTAACAGGTCTGTAACAAGTAATAGGCCCCGCCCAACACATATAGTGAGCCCAGTCCCACATATAGACCCAAATACATGCAAGATTTACAAAGACAGCTAACATACTGCAAACATAATCCAATGGGCCGACATTGGTGCATTCGACTCGTAAAAACTGTAAGGAGACTCATCTCAATCGATAGTTGGGTAAAACACACTCGAGCAGCTGCTATGAAAAGCTCCTCACTCTAGATATAACCAAAACAACCCCAATTAACAATTAAGGAATTTTTCCAAGTTAATAGGTCCAAAAATAACAGGGCTAACCTTTTTTTTTTGGGAAAAAGACCCTTTTGCCCCTTCCAAGTCTTAAACCCATTACAGTTAACCAAAAGTCAATTTGTCAAAAAATCAGCAGTCAACCTTCTATTGAACTATGCATTATGTACTCTTAGCTCTACATTGGGCGTAGAGCCTTAGTCAGAAAACGAGTGGAAACCAGCCTACGTTGGGCATAGCCCAGATTATGCCCTGTGTACTGCCTCTTTTCCAGTCTTCATATTAATCACTTAATGCTTAAAGGCTAACCATCCAATACTCAAATTAGGTTCCTAATAGCTCGATAATGGATAAAGTTTCCAACTTTATCCATTAGGATGACCCAAACAACCATGATCTAGTCTTTAAGCCTCAAAGGGAACAAAAACACATCTTCCTCATCTTAATCCATTAAGTCCAATTCTCCAACCTTTAGATTTTGATCATTATGATGTTTAGATGAATAAACTTTCCAACTTTATCCATAAAAAGGCTACAAAATTTCAAGATCTAAACTTTATGAAATAAAATGACCAAAAAGTGGCAAATATAACAAATGACTAGATCTATGAAACCAATGAGCAAGTTTGAATTTTTTTACCTTCAATGGTCCGGAAGTGAGGCAAACTTGTTGGATATATACTTGAACCATTCTTCCATACATTTTACCACCACCTTGTTCTTCAAGATTCCATCTTCTAATGGAGAAATAAGCTCATAAAGTATTACAATGCACAAAATAAGTGAGAAGAGACTAGGGTTTCGATTTAGAGGATCAAGGGGGTGGAAGCTGATGATAGGAAGGACCCCCTAAGGGGTTAGATACCTTAAATAAAGATGAACAGCCTGAAATTAGGGTTTTTACACTGCGGAATTACACCCTGCGTACTCCACTAAAAACGCATCCCACCCTCAAAATGTAGGTGATGTGTGTGAAACGAACTAGTTTTAATCCTACTAACTTAAACACAAAGACAAACACACGAAAGGCAGTGTACCTATCGATTAGCAGTTTAGTTCAGGTAAGTAGGGTATCGAACACAGGGAACGGTAAACAATTAAAATAAATGCTAATATTATCTAAATAAAACAAGTAAAAAAAGGGTTTTCTCTAGTTTTACAAGACTAGAAACTTAAATACTTTACTAACACGCAAACTAAGCAACTAACAGCTAAAGAAAATAAACAATCACTAAATTCAATGATTAAAAAGGCCTTCTGTTTAGGTTCAAATCATTTGTTCCCATGGATGATTTTATGGTAAATATATCAAATTAATTCTTCATTGGTTACCGACTAAAGTGATTAGATTCACATTCGCTATAGCTAATCCTCAGAAAACATATTAATTCAAGCAATGGCCAGTTGTCTAAATTAATGAATTTCCTAGTTTGTTGATTCGGGTTTAGAAAGACTTGTAATTAGCTAATGAAATTGGTGATTCAATTAACCTCTTGTTGATGGTGTATCACACAAGCTCACACATTAACTTACCTATCTTCAAGTTAATTCTAGTTTCACATTCGTTATTCCTAGACATACAACTATGTGGTCACGTAAATCATATGAAATTAGCAACTAAGAGATGTTCATACAACTTAATTACTAATTTATTAACAGAAGAATAGTTATTGTTAACACATAAGGTTCTTTAACAAGCTTAATAAAACATAATCGCCAATTAAAATTAATCCTAATCAAAGAATCAATCCATGTTCACAAATTCATCTACCTAAACAGAAGTTATGAGTTTTTAGCTCATGATTACAGCAGAAACAAGCTCAAAAACGAAATCAATCGGTAAAAACATAGTTCAAATAAGAGATTAGGTAAGCGTAAACTTGATTTTGACTTGATTCTCCTTAAATATTAACGTAGGGTTGATTCCCTTGCTTCCCACGCTCCAGCAGCACCTTTAGTCGACAATTAGCCTCCAAGGGTTCATCTATATGCTAGGGTATCGATCTGAAAGTCCCTTTATATAGATTTTCACAAAACAGGGCTACTCGGCGAGTCCAGTGACCTACTCGGCGAGTCCGTCACTTAAAATGCCGTGTACGGCAAAGCAAAGTCAAGAATCGCGAAACTTCTGACCAACTCGGCGAGTTGATGGCCTAATAGTTGAGTCCATTTGGAATCAGCATTTTCTCAAAACATGAAAGTCGTCCAAAATTATGTCTAGTTTTCAGAACATTTTGAATCTCATCAATCTAAGTTACGGTTCATGAGATATGGCCAAAACACTGACGAGGGGTCAAGCTGTCCACCAACATCCTTCTTTCTTCAAAATCCAATATCCAAGCCTCCAATCGCTAGTTCCGCTTCCTTTTCCTTCTGAGCATGTCATTATTGCTGAAAAATGAAATTCTAAATTAATTAAGCACCTTTTGTTCATTAAATGAGATAAAATCAACATAAAGTATTAAGATAATGCATGAAGTTTATAACTAAATATGCCCATATCAGTAGGCCCTGCGTACTCTCTTGTGGGCGCCCTGTGTACTACTAGACTCCCATAATCTATCTTCATACAACCATAAATTCTTCGTTTGAACTCCATTTTCGATGATATTTATATCCAAGGAAAGATATCGACGAGCCCCACAACAATATCTAGTTACCTATGACTAAAAATATCTCAAACTATAATCCTTAATTTTTGCAAGAAGCCCAAAACATTACCTTTCCTATTTTACCCCTCAACTTCCAATGAACAATCCAAGGTTTAAGTCACTTATCCAACACTATCAACATCTAGTAGAGTCTAATATCCATTCCCTTGAAAACCACGACCTTTAGATGGTCGAATTACAGTCCACAAACCCTAAATTAAGAAATGTCCCAAAACATGATGTTACAACTCTCCCCCACTTTAGTTAGATTTCATCCTTGAAATCATTCCTTAGTACTTCTTCTGCCACCCTAGTGAAACCTGCCCAAACTTCCTGAATTGCTTTATGATTGAAGATTCATCCCATATAGACTACTAACTTCCAACCCTACCATACAAACCCCATCTTACTAGAAATCAATTATCCCTCCGAAAGAATGAGCCTTAACGCTCTACCCTCGGCCAATGAAAGAAACCCAATTGCTCTGCCTGAGAATTGAAACAAATACGTTACTCTTTACAACTAGAAGACCTCAAATCATAGCGACAACCAATCAAGGAGGGAAAAATTCTAGAAAACTAGAACTTAGTCAATTTACACCCCATAAATTATTCCCTAAGACTGTTGATCTTCATTCATCGTACGCATCCCTAGTTCGTGACTAGGAACACCACTCAACCATGTAGAAGGAATACTCAAAATATATCGATTATGAATTTCACCCAATCCTAATCCGGAGATTATGCACAACAACTTTAAATAATCACTTGAATTATCAACAAGTCATCACCAACCCACTGATTATGTGAGTTATAATTGTGGTCAATCCAAGCATTTCACGTTGCATCCAAATCCCTCATCAATTGAGGTGTACATCCACCTGACATGACACTGGATATATTTACAAAAAACTCCATGAATCAAGATTTCAGAACCGATACCCAACAT